TTGAAAATCATTTAGCTATTTTAACATCACATAAAGAACGTAATTCATATCCACGATCACTTTCATATATGCCAAAACCAACGATTAGTGCTGATAATGAATTATTTGTTAATAAATGGAATTCTATTTTAAATGATACTCGACAACGTTTAAATATATCAACTATCGATCTTATTAAAGGAATAATTAATGTTACAATTTTTATCAATTTCGGACTCTATTAATTCAGATAAGCGATTAGAAATAGAAGTTGAAGTAGGGAAAAATTTAGAAACATTTATAGAATGATCGTGGTGTAAATTAATTCGTCATACAATTAAGCCATCGAAAAAACCAAGAACAAATAGAAATAATACTTTGGCATTTCCCGATGACAAATTTCCCATGATTGATCACTATAATTTCAAAAGATCAACCACTTCAAACCATACATCTTCAATTTCTAATCGTAAAAGCGACAAAACGATAATAAACAACGATAAACAATGCAGTCGTACAACAAAAAATAATAATAATAATTGCTCAACGTCGAATTCCCGTACAACACACTTTCAGCAACAAACATCTTTAATAATGAATAACAAATGTCAATGATTAACAACTAATAAACCAATACTCACAAAACCAAAAGAATCAAATGATAATAATCAACAAAATTACTCACATAATAAACCCTATTATTCATATAAAAATAATCGGTATAATTATTATAATCATTACATAATAGTCGCGATTATTATTCATACCGGCATCATCAACGATCTCGATGTCCGTTTTATAATAATAATAATTGTTATAATAATTGTTCTTATCGCCCATATCGTAATCAGAATTATTCAAACTACAATCAACATCAGCATCAACAACAACCACAAAAACAACAACAAACTAATACTGCCGCTGCAATCGATCAAAATCAAAATTCAAAAAACTGGTATCCTCTATTTCAAGAACCAGTACGGTTTCTTCTACAATCGCCACAACAACAACCACGACAAGCGCAGCTTCAAATTCCTTTCCAACAAACAATATCAGCAGAAATTTGCTGAACTTGTCCAACCATAGTATGGATAACAGATCTGCAATCTATACATGTAAGTTATAATAATAACTCTCTATCAATTAATTATCCACCATTTTATTCTCTCACACCAGTTTATAATTCATCAGCAATTCTAAACAAACCATTACATTATGATCAACGCTTGGCCGAATTAGATCCTGTTCATTTAACCGATATCATTTATACAATTGGTAATGTTAAACTAACACAATATGAAATTCATCTTTACTCAAAACGTCTAAAATTTATTCCAAATCAGCCATTTCATATAACGGATCACCCCCTCGCCACAGTATTGCCGATCTGGTTGGCCACTGCCATACCCAGTTTATTATCATTGCTGAAATCACCCGATATTGCAGATAGGGTGCTACCAAACGCATTGTTCATTTGAGTCTGAAAGGTTCCATCCCCATATCCATCCATATTTTCGTTTCACACTAACTTATAATTTGCTTATTTTATTCTATACTGATGATCAATCGGTAGATTCAGAATGTTTATTGTATTTTAATTAATTAATAAAACATAATAAGCTGCTAAAACTAATCCACCTACACCCACAGCCTCACTTGAAAATTTATCATCATATTGTTTTAAAAGACGTATACTTTTGCATTAAAACGTAAACAAAATATCCCCAAAAAGGCGTCTTATTATTCAACCGAGCATCTAATCAAGCAACGTCTGTATCCTTTCTAATCTTCCTTCATCTTTTCACTTTACTTCATCTACCGAACTTCTCTTAAGTCTCCCCATCTCACAAAAAAACTCTTTTCTCTTTCATCCGATTTTGATGACACTTTCAGCAAATGTTTGTCATATCAAAGTGTGGTTATGAAATTTTTGTTCCTCGTTACCTCTTACCGTTCCGGGGTATTGCAAAGTCCTAGGTCATAAATCCACTCCCCACTGCAGGGCATCTTTCTTAAATACACTTCAAGCTAGATATCTCGGGTTGGTTTTATTTTAAACTAGACACCTAACTGCGTGGGCTGATGGGACAAGATTTTTGATTCGGTCTTCGTTGGTTTTCTAGAGCTCCAAGGTCATCAAATCCTAAACAAATCCGTTTGAATTTTAAAGAGAACTTCCAGTATATTTAAAAAACGTGCCCTGCGTTGGTCATGTTTGAACAAAATGTGTTTTGAGACAAATGCTGTGCATTCGTAGATCTGTTTCAGGACATGTAGGAAAAAGGATTGTAATTTTTTACCGCAAGATCACACCGAGTTGGGCAACGTCTCATTTTGATCAGAAACATCTTCTCTGCAAACCACATGTTCAGAAAAAATTTACTTGCTTCAGTGTTCAGAAAAAACTTATTATTTAACGATCCTGATTTTCAAGGCTTCTAGAAAACCTGCTCGAAAACCATGAAACACCAGTTCTAGGCCCAAATGCGATACAGATTCTGAAAGCAGATATTTTAGGCTACCTTTCACGTCCTTGTCTCCAGATTTTCTTTTCGATGCATGAAGATTTCACTATGAGAGAGGAGAGTTCTTAATACACAAAAATACCAAAAAGAAAGTGAACTCGCACGCCCATATTTGAACATAAATCATATTGAAAAACAAATCAGGGAAATGATATTCTATCACAGCACATGGTTAGTCCTAATGCATTAACAATTGGTGCACACGTCGCTAACTTGAAAGCTTCAAGATTACTTAGTGCAGATGTTTAGCAAAACAGACGAGTCCTCAGACCCAAAGTTGACCACGGCCAAATCCAGTTTCCTATCATTGTTGAAATCGCCTGATATTACACAACGTGGGTCTCTACCAACCGCATAATTCATTTGAGTCTGAAAGGTTCCATCTCCTTTGCCAAGCAGCACACTGACGGTATCGTCATTCGAGTTGGCTGTTGCCAAATCCAGTTTCTTATCATTGTTGAAATCGCCGGATATTACAGACCATGGATATGCTAGCCTCCACAGATTTTATTCGAAAGAATAAAATCACACAAAACGTCAAAACAAAAAACTTGCCTCGGTGTGTACAAACAGACACTCTATATAGATGAAGAAAGAATGTTGACTCAACCAGAACTGAGTCAACATTCTTTGTGATAATGAGAAATGGAAAAGAGGAAGAGGAAGGAATGTCAGTGACGAC